TCTAATATGAAGATAAATAAATAAATAAATAAAAGTAATGTACCCGGCCATGACGCAGCTGAACACTGTGAATTCCAGAACGTTGGATACAACTTGGCGACGTATTTTGTTTGGTCTGATCACACATGTAATGAAAGTCCCAGTAAAATTTAGGAGAATTAACTAATCTCATTATTTGTTTTACATTGATGCTAAACAACTAAGTGTTATACTAAAATGATCAAATGGTTACTATGGGAACTCGTAGATCACAAGATGACAGTCATTTCTCAAATTTAAGTTTTGGAGGTTTATTTTTTACAACCATTGCCATCCTGTTCACTCAAAATATGATAAAAGGGGAAAAATAAAAGAGAATAAATTTCTGTACTTGAGAATTTCAGATCATTTTGTTTCCAAGCAAAGTGAGTCGAGTAGAAGAAGTGACATGGTCAGAGTCCGACTGCCAAAGATCTCTGCTATGCAGAACACACCGGGCGATACCAGAACACTGTCCTTTAATATGATAATTCACTTACAGCTGACGTCATTTTACTAAAAGGTCAGGGACAGCTGCTGTGGTTATTTATGAGGACCTAAGTTAGACTGAGGATAATCGATGCTGGACCTTATTGCAGAGGCAGAATGAGTCATGATATAAAAAATGCGACTGACCCCTCACTGACCCGGTGTTTGTTTGGAAATACTGTTTGGGTTTCACCACTTACTTTGTGCTTGAACAGAAAAAAAATCTATTCGAAGACATTCGAAGACTAATCTTTCCGGAAGTTGCGGGAAATCTAGAAATTTTCCTTAAAAATGGAACATTTCCAATCCTCTACTAAATATAGACGTTTGGTTCTCAGTAGTCTTTGATAGATCAGCGATTCCGACGTAAAGCAGCAGCTCATCTAGACGGTCCTTCCTGAAGACAGACAGAAATGCAAACACGCTTCTATTGAGCGACGCTACAACAGTACTTCCTGTCTGGATGCGTAGAGGTACATCCACGGCTTCATCCGCGTGTCTCTTTGTGCTCGGCTTCTGGAGAGGGATCAGACAAAGTAGCGAACAGGTGTGAGCAGGTGCGCCGAAAAGGTTTGATCTCTGCTTCTGTGGCCTCATTCATCTCTCTCCGTCACATCCACCTGCGGCTCCTTGTCAACAACTCATTGTCATTCTAGAAACACGACTGTCCTCCATACTGTTTTTGTAGCGGAGTCGAGCTCTTAACGCTTATTATGCGCACAGAACAAAGGGGCTGCTCCACCTCAGATGCTACCTATGAAAAATGGATTTTGTCAGCTAATCATGTGAATCTGAAACTTTATACAACTTGTGGGCGAAAAAGCCTCTTAAAAAACCTCCAAGATAAAATAAGTGTTATAATCTTGATTTAAATACATTTATTGCAAAGAAATCGGCTTTAGAAGGGAAGTCTAAATCTCATTTGGCAAAACTGAAAAAATAAGTGCTCACATTCACATCCTTCATTCAGATTTTCTCTCTCAAAAGGTTGGGATTTTTTTGTGTTTAACGTGGCATAAAAAAAAGATTCAGTATACAGTATGTCTGTTTTATGCAGGAGCTCTGAAGCTCGAACCGTGAGTAAAGCTTTTTCTTTTTTCATTTGCTGGTTTTTACTGTCTCTGCTCTGCGCTGGTTCAACAAGTTGTTTTTAATAACATTAGTTTGATTTAGATGAAAATGGATCCCTGACATGGTGTTTTTACAGGTGGAGAATTTTAGTGCAAAAACAAATAAATAAATAAATAAGAGCAGGTGAACTGCATGGTTTATCATGACCGTCCTTTCAATAGTATCTCTGAGGGGAAAGCAAGACGGCTTTTACCCAGTAAGGCAAAAATGATTAATCAAATTAGTCGTGATTAATCAATTATTGAAACTCTTCCAGCCGGACTCTTTAGAGGGATCGTCTTAAATAACAAAGAAAACTGAATCGGAATCAACAGTCCAATATAGGTAATAATAATAACCTGTAGAACAATAGGACTGTTGTATACAGACTTAAAAAATACATTTGTTAGAAGGACAATATACTGTGAGCAGTAATTCAGCCAAAACTGTACAAAAACATATTTATATTGAGGACTAAAGCAAATCTGTTAATCGTCTTTGCTATGTAATTATTAATAAGAAAGCAGAAATTAATCAATCAATCCATAAATCCTCAAGCATACACTAACAGAATGCTAAGTTGCTGCATTTTAGGCAATGAAATATTTACTTCTTTAAAAACAGGAATCAAATTATTGATTATTTGCATCTTTTAATGTATTTCTAATATTGTAAATAAGAAAATTCTGACGGTTAAAATCTGCAGAATGTGCCAATTTTTTTTTTACCTAATTAAATGATTAATTGTCAGAATAATTGATTGCTAAAACATTTATCAAACGGTTTTGAGTTTTCTCTCTGGAACTCTCTGCCTAACACAAAGATATTATTGAACATTTAAACTGAGCTCCTCATTAAAGTGGGCCTGGACTTCAGAGGACAGGAGACACTTTTGAGATGAATCATTTCATTTGGACATAAGATAGACTACGCTGTCAACAGCCCAACTAAAGTCTTTATTTCAAAGCACATTCAGTGAAACACTGTGATTTAAGTATTGATGGTTTTCAGCGGCCCCACAGACAACATATCTAAAGACCAAGTGTCTGTTTCTTTACTGAGAAAGTCAGCGAGTTTTAAATTGCTCCTTTTTCTCAGAGGAATCATTGCCAGTTTTGTCAATTATGCATCTTTCCAGGTTTGTTGCCGTGAGCAGTCAGTGCTTTGATGAGAGAAAACTAGAAGCCACTTTTATGGCACTCTGGGGCATTTTGCTTCCCATCTGATTTTTTTCCATACCCCTTTATTCAATTTGAAACTAGTTTAACTTTTGGATTGTATTTTTGGGTGCAAGTTGCCAGTCCAGTCATGATTAATCCATTATCTTAACCTTATCTCTTTTCATTCTTCTTGATTGACTTCACTAAACATGTTCCAAGGATCTAAAATAACTGTGAAAAACTATTAACACAATTATAAAGCAATTTAACACAATTCAACCTCTCTTGCTTTGTCTGAAACTCCAGAGGACACAGGCGGAGGCCTCACCAATTACAGGTGGTCAGTAGCATGGGAGTGCCACAGGGCTCTGTACTCTCACCATTTCTTTTCATTCTTTTCACCTCAAACTTCCAGTATAAAACAATCTTATCAGCTACACTCCAGTAAAAAAAAAATCACCTGAAGAGGCATTTGAATGAGAGAAATCCTCATAATCTGAGAGATCTGGACAACTTCAGGAAGTTAAGATGTGGACAGATGCCTATCAACGAAAGCTGAAAGAAGAAAAGCGGATTTGCAGAATTACGCATTCAGGATGTTCCTGTTTTTTACATTCTCTTTCCACATTTCCACCATCAAGTGATTTGTAGATAATTGTCACATTAAAGTTGGAAAATGTTTAAAAAAAATAGACTCAGGATCAGCTCTACCACGTAGGACAAAGGATGACATCACTGTCTTTTATTAACACGTCTTTGATCACGTACTTTCTTCTTCGTTGATGTGACCTGAGAGCTCCTTGACAATGCCATCGTCTCAAATCAGAGTAAGAAAACTAAACCTGGCTGTGCTTTGTGGGTTATTGCATGTTTTTTTTTTTTTCCTGTACGTGAGAAATACGAAGTGAGCCTTCGAGAAAGCAAAGGAAAACAAGACATGCCACTAAAGAGTGTTTCAGAGAGATTTTGTGCAGTAAATTATTAAGAAGTTGTTGAAAGAGCGACCGGGGACTCATAAACTATTGATTCGTTTGGTGATAAGCGCTGGTAAGTTTTCACACATCTTTCATCACCATCAGACACAGGAGCAGACAGAGTTCTTAGCTCTGACTGTTCAGGTGGTCACCTCCTTTAAGGTTGTTTTTAAGATGCATAGTGCCATAAGCTGCTGTTTTTTTTATTAACAAATGACTAATATAACTTCTACAAGAGTTAGATATCATGTAATACTGAGTAGTATGCTTTAATTTGTATAGAGACGCTGACGTGGCACTGAAGTTCTTCCATTCAAAGAAATTTCTTTCAGTCATTGTCGGCTTTGTGAAGTAGCTTCCATGTAAGCTGGAGCTCAACAATGGAGTGGAAGTCACCCCGATACATTTTAATGACATACACTTAGGAAAGAGAAAAATCATCTCAAGAAGTAGGACAAGCACATGGCATTTCGTAGAGGTCAATCAATATGAGATTATAAATTGTATCCAGCTTCCTCTCGGCAGACATATCCAGACAGAGACGGAGGAAGAAAATAGCACTAGGTAAAGAAACCAGCTTTGTAAAGAGAACAAATAGATAAACGTTCATATTTTTCTCTCTAACTTTGATTCTAACTAAACTTTTTAGACTTTAGGTCTGTTAAGCTCACCAAAAAGATTTGTTTGGCTGTCATGTGTGGCTGGTGTTCTGTCAGATCAGCATGCTGTCAGATCGTCATAACACACACTGTCGGCTGTGTCAGACAAGTACACATTGTCATTAGCACATGCTTTCATTTAATCAGCAACATAACATCATGGTGTAGCAGGCAGATCGTCATACACTTTGTTATTAACAGGTGTATGGCATCCAACTTAGCGGCTAGCTAGTCAGGCCACCATCAAGGAACAGGAAGGCGAGTTTTATGCAGCGCGTGTTTTGTAGTTGAGTGTAGGTACAGCCAGACCATCCTTTAAATACACTTTGAAACCATGACAATGCATGTATGTCCATCTACTTATCATTGAAAACAATTTATTGGCTCATTTTTGTCGTATCTTGTCGCGACAGCTCCTCTAAATGTCGAGGACCTCTTAAAGCGTATGCGTACTCACTGACAGCGTATGCTGATTTGGCGGAACACCGGTTCGACGCTGGAAGCTTACCGGAAATAAAAATAAAAAAGCTTACCGGAAATTGCCTGCGCTGTTAACAACGAAGCTCCACTGCGAAGAGAGAGGCGTCGAGCCGAACAAAATGGCTGTTAATGTAAGTTCAACACTTGGAGGCGTAGCCATCACGGACTGAACGGCTTCGTTCACTTCTTCCGCTGCCATTTCTACGATTCTTAAAACGCAGAAAGTTGATGTCATCGTTCAGGACTTCTCCGCTGATTGGTCCAGATGAAATTGTACCGGAGGAAATCCAGGTTAGACTCTAAACATAACTACATTTATGTGTGGATTATTTTATTTTATTTTTTAAATTAAGGTTGTGGTAACACCAACCCATAACCTCTGGTTCCTGTCTGCTTATTTAGAACAGATATTGGATGTCTTCTTATATAATTTTTCTTTTACACATTTCTTCAGTTTTTTGATGATTTTTATTGCTTCCGTTTAGAGAGAAATTCCATTCCATTCCAGGCAATGGGTTCTGGCTTCATGTCCAAAATTGTTTCATTTTCTTTAGACACGACGGGCTTTAAAGTGTCAGGATTTCATTTTACAGACAGAAAATAACCAGACAAGTTAAGATGCACTGTGCCCAATAAGACAAAGAAAATCCTTTTCAAGACTCTTCCTTGGGCCTCATTGTTCCTCCTTTCTCTCTCAGCACGTTGAAAGACATTTTGAGAGTCCCTTAGGTCAACCAAAACATGAAGGAGAAAGAGGGAAGTGCAAGTTAGTAAGTAAGCATCCTTATTGAACCGTATAAATCCCACCTGTCACACACATTTCACATCGTTTAAAAGCGACTGCTCTTTGTTCAGCTTTAGTTTCTCTATTTTGATTTCATCTCACCCAGCCGCACATATACACCATATACACCATGAGGTGGAACAGAGACGACACAATGTTTCACATTTTTCTCTTAAACCTAATTTTAGATTGAAAATACTTAGAGGGCTCAACCTCCTGTATCTCTAAATGCAATGGTAGATTGTATATTGGAGTTTCAGACATTTCTTAGGTGCAACAAAAGGATTGTTAAAAAAAATGGAGTGTCTGTGAAGATCAGTTTATAATTCTTGTTTTGGGTTCTCAACCGGACTTTGCTCTTGGCAGATGTTGAATTAACAATGCTTAGCATGTCGCTACATTTAAATGACTTTTTTGACTTTGAAAGTAATGTTAAAACTAATGTTAGGATTCAATCCCAGCATTTTTATTCACAGCAACTCAAAAAGTTACTGTGAGATGAATGAGAATTAAGAAAAACACAGACTTAAAATAGTTTCTTAAGCCAATCTGATGATCCATTGAAATTTGTAACACTTAATAAATGTCATCACTTTACTTGAAATCGATTTGGGGTCATAAAAAAAAAAATGCTCAAAGCGGATTCCCGGCTGTGTACGCTCCTCATCCCAGAGATGTAATAGAATGATAAATATCAGAGAGCAGAAATGAGAGGCCCACAGAAGCATTTCTTAAGGCTAAGACCTCAATCAGTCAGCGCTCAGTCAGAAAAATGAAACGTGGCGGGTTTGCTTTACTCCAAAGAGAGGTTGCACCGCTACGTTTACAGACACAATGATGTCAAAGCTCAGCGCCGCTACACCTGCTTTCTTAAAATAACCAAAGACGGGTCGAAGATATAAACGGCTCCTGACCATTGACTGAAATGATATAGTCATTCATGCATAAATATCTCAGAGCATGTCCTTTAGTTTGGCTACAACGCAAAAACACAAGATCTTACCAGGTATTAGTGAAAATCTCTTTAAAATAAGACAAAACGGGTAACTTGTTAGCAAGCTATGCGAGCTTGTTTTACATCAATAATTCTTGAACGTTGACAAGAAAGCTAGTTTCATTGGCAGGTTTTTTTTTTTTCAATTATAATAAACATTTCAACCTCATGTTATTTTTAGTGGAGAGAAAAAATCTGCCAGTGAAACTAGAACTTTTTAAACTAAATATTCAAGAGTTATTGACTTAAAACAAGCTCCTAAATGTTGCAGAAAATTTCCTTGTGAACTAATTTAGTCTTATTTAAAGTGTACAAAAGCTGTTTCCACCAGAAACCGGACAAAAATACTTGGTAAGATTTGGCGCTTTTCCTCTCACCATAGAAACGCAGGCTGACCATAATGTCACTGATGGTTTGTCTCTGGTGGTTTTACTCCCTGGTTTTGTTCTGCATGCTTTAAGTCAGACCTTTGGGAAATTGCAGAACAAAGCTGTGCTGTATTATGTTTAAGACCAGATTGCTCTGTGTGTCACTGAATCTAATTACTTTGTATGATTGCATTTAACTGTATATAAATCTCATTTTTAAATTGCATTGAGATTATTTGTGTTTTAACTTGGCATGATAAAAATAAACTGAACATAATTAAACCTTTTTTTTTTTTTTTTTGGTTATCTTCTATGACCTGTATAAAACCTGCCAAATATCACAAAGGAATATTTAAGAAAAGTTATTTGGGATTCTTTTCAAAATTTTAGACATCAGCCATCAATCACACACAGACATAAAAACATTTGTCATTTCATAAAGTGAAACTCGTATGTATTGAGAATCTTATCAAACAGATTGAAACATGTCAAGCCTGTCTTTCCTGTGAAGTTGATGATTATGGCTTCAAGGTGATGAAAACCCAAATTTCCGTGTTCCTGAAAGTTTGAATGTTACAAAAAGCACAAGCTCAACAAACTCTTTTTGTTTTTTTATTGAGATTCAGATCTGAGCACAGAGTTACTAAACACATCAGAGAGAACACGATGGAGATTTATCAACATTTATCGATCACATTCCATTTAATGCCAGCTTCTGTCAGCAACAGCTTCTGAAGTTAGAATGTTTTAGTACCAAGTCATGTCCAGTAACTTGGTTGAAGACTTGTGAATTTAGTTACTTTATTCAGTCTTTTCATGGCTATTTGACTGCCAACTCAATGAGTGTCTTGGACTCTTAACTGCAAAATAAATCTACAACATCCTTTCCTTTTTCCACCACTGCTTTTGACTACTTATGATACTTTTACTGTATGTGGTTATCATTTGCCATGCTGCCTTGCTTTATGACCATTAGCAACTTTAGCAAATTGTATTTCACACAGTCTCTTTGATTTCAAAGGTTTGTTTACCCATTGCTGCGGGATTATTTTGACGTAGAATTGATCTTCAACTTCTGGCAGTATTAACCTGCTTTTCCTTCAGTCCTCCCTGTGTTGCATTATCCACATTATCATCAAGAAGGCTATGGTTACCCACAACAAAGTAATCACTCTCCCTATTCCCCCAGAGGCACCAAAGGTACCATTCAAGTGATTGGCCGAGTTGGAAAGGCAGGAATGATTTCTTAAAGTGGTTACATCAAATGATGACAATCATGAGAGATTTCTGTTACTCTCTCTGTTCTCTTTTTGTCTCCCCCCTTATTTTCTTCGTCCAAAATGTAGCTGTCGGGGTTGTTCTTTCTGCCCTTCCTGCTGACAAAGACAAAGAAGTTGCTGTAATGCCTCCTGTCACATGGCAGCACAGACAACTCTGTCCTCTGTGGCTTTCTTCAAGGTAGTTTGTTCCAGAGGTGTTAACGCACTACAGCCTTTTACCTATCTGTTGAAGAGACGAGAGATCTCCTGCAACTGCTTTTCTTTAACTTTTTCCTGCTACAGGGATTTACAGACCTGGTCACAAGTTTACATACACTAATCATTATTAGCATGTCACGTCAATTTGGAGCTTTTAAAAGCTCTAAATTTACACTTTTTGTCATGTACTGACAATGAACCGGGCTACTAGCATATGGATACAGTATCACTTAAATTTGGTGAGGAAAACTCCCTTAGCAACATCCAACACATTTTTCCTCTTCAACAACCAACTTCTGACATAATTATGGCTCAATATTTTACTTCTCTTACAGTCAAGATTTGAAAAGCTAAATTAAACCGATTGACTCACCACCTAAGATCCGACTTTAAAGCATAGCCTATATACCTCCAGTAGAGCTGGGGGTAACTTCATGATGGTGTTTGCTCCCCAATATTCACTGAACCAACACCTAAGTTGTTTCACAGAGCAGCTGTATTCGTACTGAGGTTAGAGTTCGTACAGATGGACTTTGCTTAGTCACTAGCAGTCATCTGGCAACTTCTAAAGGCAATTGGTTGCTCTCGGAGAAAAGGGGGAAAAGCAATACTTTTGCACACTGCACTTTTCAATTTTGTATTTGCAAAAAAAATGTTTTGAACCTTGTATAATTTTCTGTGTACTTCACAATCGTATACCACTAGTTGTTAGCTAGCTGGCTAACATTTAGTTATATGTTAGCTAGCTAACTTATGTGTTAGCTACATTTAGTTAGCTAGCCAACATGTAAATGTAGCTAACTAACATTTAGTTATGTGTTAGCTACATTTAGTTAGCTAGCCAACATGTAAATGTAGCTAACTAACATTTAGTTATGTTAGCTAGCTAACTTATGTGTTAGCTACATTTAGTTAGCTAGCCAACATGTAAATGTAGCTAACTAACTAAATGTCTTTCCCTTTAAGTTCCAATTTAAAGGACCGCAGAAAAAAATTGCTTACTAAAAATGTCAGATTAATGTAAAGTCAATTGCTAAATGATATTGATTCATGTATTGATTCGGAGCAGATTTTTGCTGTTTTGTTTATTCATCACGACAAACTGCAGTGAAAGCAGAATAATCAGTTTCTATTGTCATTTTGGATCAGAGCCCATCCCACAACAACACGCTAGCGTGACCTTCAACCTTGTGACTGCATGGAGCCTAGTAACAGTGTGAGATCCTGGTGTCAAGGAGACAGAAGTTGAGCAACAATTGGAGGCGACAGCTCATTCATCATGGCCAAGGTATCCGTTCCACTGAGTAGAGCACATTCTCCACCCTACACTGCATCTGGCTTGCTTAATTAAAAATGGGAGCACAGTAAACAACTTCAATAATTTATTCTCCCTTTTTTTTTTTTTCATCGAGGGCTACATCATTAAAAAGCATACTTTTGATGTTCAGCGCTGTAATGCTTTTTTCCCCCCCGTGAATGAAGCGTTGAATTGAGTTGTTCATTTAGAGGACATGCTTTATGATTTGCTTTCTTCTGCTGTTTTGTTTTTCATTGCTGTGTGTGGTGCTGTTAAGTGTGTTTGTGTTTGGCTGAGATACTGCCCTACTGCTCCTAATAGAAGGAAGAAAGTGAGCGGCTAAAAAAATTTACGCTCACACCTGGAGCTGGCTGCTGGAGCACGGACCTACGTGACTTAAACGCAGCACAGCAAATATTCAAAGACATATGAGATGAAGTCAGGCTTATCGAAAAGACAAACTATTTTCATTACTTATAGCTGATTCATATAACAAGGATCTATTTTTATTAGAGTAACACTACTTCTTGTGAAATAATGTGTAGACTACAAGTTTACATACACTTATCATCAGCAGGTCACATTAATTAATCTTAGTCTGTTTTTTTTTTTGGTGTACATACAGCAAACGATGAATAAGATCACTAGTTGGAATTGATTAAGGATTTTCTCTAATCCAATTGCCTCAAAATTATACACCAGATTCAGATACAGAGCCAAACTATTAGTGGAAGAAGTTGAGCATGACACATCATGGGTTAAATAAGCCTGTTGATGTGTGTTTAGACTTTATACACTTCTGTTTGTAAAGTTATACCGTAAAATATTAACAGCAGTATTTTGGTTAGAATGTCATAGAGAGAAAAAATATTTAGTTACGAAGTAAATATTTATTTTCCAAAGTAAATACTTAGCTCAGACCTAAATATCTAACTTGCTAACCAGTATTTATTTTACTAGCTAAATATTTAGCCTGCTAACCAAATATTTAGCTAGCTAAATGTTTAGCTTACCAACTAAATATTTAGGTTGCTAGCTAAATATTTAACTTTCTAACTAAATATTTAGGTTGGTAACTTATGTCTAACTTTATAACTAAATGTTATAGCATGCTAGCTAAATATTTAGGATGCTAACCAAACATTTAAGTTGCTAGCTAATATTTGGCTTACTAACTGAATATTTAGGTTGCTAGCTAAATAATTAGCTTGGTAACTAAACATTTTGGTCACATCTGAGGATATTGGCAGCTATTTTTAATCAGCTTAATCTTCTATCTTGAAGGTTCAGACAGTCAGGAGAACACCAAACACAAAGCCTGAGGTTTTCAGTATTACAAGTAGGATGTTCCAGCTTTTTTGGATAATTATGTTTTGCTGATAAAATTAAATTTCAGTTTGTAACTGGAACATATACCCTAATGGAATTGTATCTGTAATTGCCCTGAAAGGTGATTCTATAAAGTAAAGTAGTTGTACAAGGGGGTGGATATGGTTGTGTGGAACAGGAGTTCAGATCTTTTGAAGAAACTTTTACCTAAAACTCCAGTAAAATATGAATTGGCTTGTAATTAGATGAAATATAAAAAGTTAAAAGAATCCTAATTTTATTTGAAGGAGCTCTGTTTCATTTTTAATGGTTTTAGAGAGAAAGTGGCGGATTTCAGACTTAATCTTGGTTAGATGGATGAAACATGTCCAACCAGCTCTTTGTCATGTTTGATGTTTCTCAGAACAGAAGCTTCATAACAATCATTTTAAACAGCCACCACATCTTTGTGAAAGCCTGAGAGTAGAAAGTGCCCCACCATAACTACTTCTTGATTCCAAATTACCCTCAGTGCAGTCTGTCTTGCTCTGTGTGTTGTCTGGTTACCGCCTTTTTCTCGGCTCCTTGAAAGCACCTCCACCTCTTGCCCTCTCCCAGGTTTCGAATCAATTGTTTGTCCCCGTTTCCAATTTATTTTGGGCGTTTTTCTATAGCGGTCTGCTCTCCGGCCCATCTGTATTGTGTCTCTCCCTGGACCTGAAATGGTGCAGACTAAGCCAGCCAAGGCTTCTTAATCTTAGGTAATGGAGGAAATTGAGTTTCATCCCGCTTCCCTCCATCACCCTGAGTTTTATACTCCCAGGTAAGCCTATCTCACATTTGACCGAAATGCTCTTTATAAAAAAGAAAAAAAGATGCAATTAAGTCCTATAATCCATTCCCTGCTCAGCTTGCACCTCAAAGCATTTTTAGCTTTCCAATTTTCAGAAATAATTTATTTTCTCATCCAGATGAACTTTATTCATTCTCTATTTTTAAAATATCATTTAATTCCATGATAAACATCTGGATATAAATCATATTTTGACCTTTTCTTGTGTCTGGTGAACCTTTTTCTGTGCTAATTTCAACATGTGTGTTGGATCATCATCCTACTAAACAACTGTTTCTCTATACCAGAGGTTCCCAAACTGTGGGGCGCGCCCCCTAGGGGGGGTGCCGTGTCATTGCAGGGGGGGCGCGGGAAGCCGTCTGGATGAAAAAAAAAAAAAAACATGAAACCTGTATGCGCTGGGTTTTTACCTTAGAATGGCTAACTCTCTGTTATTCATATGTCAATTTGATACAGTAGAGGCTTCCACACTTCCCATATCTGTGTCATCTGTCACTTTTATAAGCAGTTAAAACTGTTTAATCCGTTGTTAACTTGTTGTAACCTGTTTTTTCGAGCCGCCGTTAAACGCAACATGAGCGCTACGACGCTCGCGCTGGAGGAGACCTGCTGCTGGGCGGAGCTACGTAGGTTTGTGTTAGAATCACGGCAGCAAACCAGCAAAACGCAAAGAACTTTTCTCAGTTTTTCCTCTCCAAACTAACCGACTGAGTTGAGTAAAGCTGTTGGATGCAATGTTAGCTAAAAGATGACTAGCTAATATCAATACAGAACCTTAAGCTTAACAAGTACCTTAGGCTACTGATCCATAGGGGGGGCGCAGAAAATGTTTGGAAACCACTGGGGGGGGGCGCAGAAGAAAAAGTTTGGGAACCACTGCTCTATACAGTCCGCTACATTTTCATTTTGCAACAATGAAGTCTAAATAATACAAGAATAATGTCACGGTCTGGTAAGGTACAAGAAAAATGTCGCAATATCAGCAGAATGAAGTGATCATTTTATAACTCCTAGGTGAAAAAACAATAAGTTAAACCGAGGAACGTGGAGGATCTTGTGAATTCTTTGGTAATAGTTTTACAAACAGGGACATATTTAATCTTAGCATCAAATTATCATCAGTAGCAGGTCTATAAAAGGATTTTACAAACGACTGAGTTTAAAGAATCATAGGTATGAGACAACAGAGTCAAAATTTGCAACTTTTTTCTTGTAATTTTGAGTTTCTCTTAGTAATATTGTCTTTATTCTCCTAACTCAAAAACAATATATATATCTCTAATACTCGGTCGTATTTTTCCCTACTGAGTAAACGCTCAAACGTAAAGGTTGGATTCTTCAACTTATTTCCTCCTTCTGTGATAAAATCTGAGTTTATTTCAGGATCTTTACACATCTGCTTCAGAGGTACCAACAAAATAATCCATAATGTAATGAGGGAAAAAAAAAACTGATTACATTTGTGTGTGTTGTGTGAGTTTAAAACCATTTAATTGACCACCAGGCGTGATGCAGC